TCTTTGATAATTCCTTCAGTGCACGTTGAACTTCTTCCTTCAGGATCACTGGCTCTTGATCATATGCTACCTCCTGAAACAGTTGAACATCAACCATTTCCTTTTGGTACAGTGACTCTGTGTATTCCTTTCATCTACTTTTGATGCTTTCTGCATCATTCAATAATTTGCCCAGAGAATCCTTCAGTATCGAAAGTCAAGGCTTGAATTTTTTTCTTCAGTTCCTCTAGCTTGAGAAATACTGAGCATGTTCTTCCCTTTTGGTTTTCTGTCTCCATATTTCGTTGTAATAGTTACTTTGTTTTCTCTAGCTGACCTTTTTAATGTTCTGTTCAGCTCTTGGACCTCCTCATTTCTTCCTTTTGCTTTAGCATATCTATGCTGGAGAGCTAATTTCAGTGTCTCTTCTGTCATCCATTCTGATCTTTTCCTTCTTTCTGGTCTTCTTAATGACTTTTTGCTTTCTTCATGTATGATGTTCTTGATGTCATCCCACAACTCTCTGGTCTTCGGTCTTTAGTGTTTAATTTATCAAATCTGTTCTTCAGATGATCTGTAAATTCAGGTGGGATATATTCAGGGTCATATTTTGGCTCTCATGGATTTGTTTTCATTTTCTTCAGCTTCACTCTGAATTTGCACATGAACAACTGATCGTCTGTTCCACAATCTGCCTCTGGCCTTGTTTTGACTGATGATATGGATCTTTTCCATGATCTCTTTCCACAGATGTAGTCAATTTGATTTCTGTGTATTCCATCTGGTGAGGTCCATGTGTGTAGTCGTCTCTTATGCTGTCTAAAGAAGGTATTTGAAAGGAACAAATCATTGGTTTTGCAGAATTCTATCATGCGATCTCCAGCATCATTTCTATCACCAAGGCCATATTTTCCAATTACTGATCCTTCCTTTGTTCCCAATCTTTGCATTCCAATCACCAGTAATGATCAATACATCTTGATTGCATATTTAATCAATTTCCGGTCAAAGAAGATGGTAGAATTCTTCTTTCATTCTCACTGGCTTTAGTGGTTGGTGTGTAAATTTGAGTAATAGTGGTATTAACTGGTCTTTCCTGTAGGCGCATATTATACTATCACAGACAGCTTTGTACCTCATGACTGATCTGGATATGTTCTTTTTGACAATGAATGCAACACCATTCCTCTTCAATTTGTCATTCCCGTCATAGTAAACCGTGGTTGTCAGATTCAAAATAGCCAATACCAGTCCATTTCAGCTCACCAATGCCTACAATATCAATGTTTATATGTTCCATTTCATTTTTGACAATTTTCAATTTTCTTAGATTCATACTTTGTACGTTCCATGTTCCGATTATTAATGGATGTTTACTGTCATCACGGTTGTTGTTGTTGTTGTTATGTGCCGTGGAGTCTGTTCAGACTCATAGCGACCCTGTACAGGGTTTCCGAGGATGTAAATCTTTACTGGAGCAGAACGCCTCATCTTTCTCCCGCGGAGCAGCTGGTAGTTTCGAACTGCTGACCTTGCGGTTCGCAACCACTACGCTACCAGAGCTCCTTAAACTTTAAATCTAGGTAAGACAGGAGGAGGATGATGAGGGGATGGATAAAAGAGAGCAGGTCTGATAGAACTTCCTGGGCAGGGAACCTCTGACGAATGAGGGTTTCTTCAACAAACACCAAGGCATAATATTATCTAGCTTTCGAGGGGATGAGTTTGAGGCAGGTATTGGAGGATATTCAAGATGCCCACGTCAGCATGAATGCCAATTCAACACCAGTTCTGCTCTCCTCTCAAGGAAGGGCCAGGAGGTCCCGGTGGATGCCACGACAGGAGAAAGCAGTAAGAAAGGGGCCCAGCCAGACACTGGTGGGCGTTCAAGACGGCAGCGTCCCCTCCGAGGCAGGACTGGAGCCCGGGAGGAGGGCGAGCCGGGCGGCCCTAGATGTGGCAAACTTCACCAAGCAGAGAAGCAGGGAGGCCCAGGAAGGGCTAGGGGGTGCGCCAGCCCCGCCGCTAGGATTAAGGAATCTGAGCACGGAGTTTAGCACACTGGGGAAAGGGGGGCGGCTGGGTGACGCGTGAGAGAAAACACGAGATAGCAGGCAGCTGGGAGGAGGGAGTGGGGGGTGGAGAATGAGGAGGGGAAAGGAAAAGGGAGGGTCTTTGGGGTGGAGAGAGGAAAAGAGAGAGGAGGTGCCGGCTGGAGGGAGGAGAGAAGGAAGGGTGGAGAGGAGAGAGGAAGTGAAAAGGACTTTTAGGGTAGTGTCGAGGCTGCAACGCGAACAGCGGGCATCTCTGCCAGGCCGCCCCTGGAAGCAAGGCGCCGCTATTCCGCTACTCGGGGCGCCGCTGCCGCCGCGCCCGGGGGCCATGCTCCCGCCACCCCCGCGCCAGCCACCGCCCCAGGCGAGTTCGGCCCGTGGCGCAGTGCGCTTGCACCGGCCCTTCCTGCGAAGCCTGCTGGGCGTGCTGCGGCTGCTGCAACTGCTGGCTGGTGCCGCCTTCTGGATCACTATCGCCACAAGCAGGTACCAAGGCCCCGTGCACTTTGCACTCTTCGTGTCCGTGTTCTTCTGGCTGCTGACCCTGGCCCTCTACTTCCTCACGCTGCTAGGCAAGTACGAACTAGTGCCCTTTCTTGGAGCACACTGGCTCGTGGTCAACGTGGCGCACGACCTGCTGGCGGCCGCGTTGTACGGCGCCGCGACGGGCATCATGATCGACCAGACACAGCGCCACAGTTACTGCAACATCAAGGATTACTCACTGCCCTGCGCCTACCATGCCTTCCTGGCGGCCGCGGTGTGCGGCGGCCTCTGCCTTGGCCTCTACTTGCTCTCGGCATTCTACGAATGTTGCCGCCGCCATCAGGGGGAGCAGGAGGTGGTCTGAGGCTTCCCGATAGCACCGCAGCTCCGACCACAGCCAAGGTCCCTCTGGAGAACCGTGCCCCAACTCTTCCTGGTGACGCGCTTACCCTGCGGTCGTGCACCCTGGCACCCTCCCCTTGCTCTGCGTTTCCACTGCTGCCCGCGCCCAGGAACCGAATCCAGACACGTAGCTCTGGCCTAACGGCTGCCCCCAACTCTAAATCGCTGCGCCGCGTGCGCCCTCTCACCAGGCCCCCGCAGGGCTGCAATCAGAAGGCGGACGCACCCCTTCAGACTGGCCGCCCAGAGGCGAAACATCGCAGTTACTTCTGCCCAGACGTGGACAGGCGCCGCGTAGATCCGGGGGAGGCTCCCAAATTGGAACCAGCCTTATGGCGGCGCCACTGCGCCCTTCCTCCAGCTCAGACGGCATTGGAGCACTTCTTCCGGCGTTTCTTTTCCATATAAGATCGGCATGCGGCGGCTGCTGAAGCTGGGAACATATTTTGGCTGGTCTTGAGAAGAACGAAGAATTTGGGATTATCATTAATTCATTAGTCCCTTGTAGCACACCCCGTGGTGCTTTGATATCTTGTGGTGGGGATCATCTGCAGACTTGAGGATGGGTAGGAAGGACCCCATGGGCAGTACCTCTTGCACCTTTGGAGTCCTTTCTCACCTCTGCCTGCCAGGCCTTTGTCCAAACACAATGTCACTGACTTCCAACCTTTCAGTGATAGGAGCCCCTTCTCAGCCTTTCTCTCATAGGCATCTCTTTGATACAGCCCTTAACTGCCATCTGTTTGCATTCAAGACCTTTCCCCAACCCCTCGACCATCATGAAATGTTATGGTAAGCACCCCAACCCTTCTTTTTATAGATAGGAACCCCTGGCCAGCTCTTGTTAGCAGCTGGAAAATATTAGTTTGTTGTTGTTAAGTGCCATCTAGTCGGTTCCGAATCATAGCGACCCTGTATAGGATTTCCAAGGAGCGACCGGTGATCTTGAACCACAGACCTTGCAGTTCAGACGTGATTGCAGTCTGGCTCATTCTCGGATTGTGCAGCTCTGTTTACTTCATAGCAGTGGAGTGTCCCAGGAGATGCCTTCCTAAAAGAGGGTTTAGATCAAACAGGATTGCCAATATAGCACCATTTCAAGACAAAAGGTTGCTATATCTCCTCATCTTGAATATTCAATGTGCTCCTTAGCATATCAAAGGCTCTGAGAAGTGACACTGTAAAAGCCACAGTATTAACTAACTTTGTTTATAGTATTAATTGTCTCTGGGCCTAATTTTCCCAGTTTAAGATTCCCAGCATCCTGTGTTTCCCAGACCCAGCCCATTGGCATTGGTCTATGAAGATTGGGGAGCGTGTTTTGTTCCCAGAGACTTTCTCTAAATGAGGGTGACAGTCCTTCTGCCAGGCCAGTGAGAAAGACCATACATGGAGACCTGGGATTTGGTGGATTTGAACATCCTTTTACACAACTTGGAGTCCTGATGTAACGCTGCAAGATACAGCACTGGACCACAAGGTTAGCTTGAACCACAAGGTCAGTGGTTCAAACTCACCAGCTGCTCCTTGGAAACAGGGTCTCTATGTGTTGGAACCAAATCTACAGTACTTATCAACAATGACATTACACAACTTGGGATGGTTTCCCAGTGAAAAGAAACTTCACTTTGTAAGAGATCACCCAAGAGAGGAGAAGAATCTGGAGCTGGGGTGAGCAGCTGGCCACGTCCCTGAATGGTAAGATACTTCCTAGTTTTCTGGAAGGGATCATAGAGCTTTGAGCAAAAAACACAGAGCTGACCTCATTTTCCAAGAGTTAAAAGGTTTTAATATAGAGAATAAGTTAGAAGGCTAAAATAGTTACCACAATGTTTAGAGAGTTCTGAAATCCCATCCTTTGCTAGATCCTTAAAAAGTTCTGCTCTTTGATAAAATCCCATCCTCTGGTTTAGAAACTGGAATAAACCACACCCATTGCTGTTGGGTCAGTTCAGACTTATAATGACCCTACACAGCGGAGTAGAACTGCCCCATAGAGTTCCTAGGACTTTACAGAAGCAGACTGCCTGGTCTTTCTTCTGGGGTCAGCTTGTGGGTTTGAACCACTGACCTCACGGCACCATATTTTTTGGTGCTGTTAAGAGCCTTAAAGTCGGTTCTGACTCATAGCGACCCCGTATAGGGTTTCCGAAAGGCAGCTGGTGGGTGTGAACCCACCTACCTTGCACTTCAATTTGACCTTGCAGTCCAGGGCATTAACCCCCAGCGCATACCAAGACTCCTACCACAGGAGAAACCAAAATGTTGTTTTTGTGACTCATGTATTTAAAACTTACATGAGGAGGTGTTAGTTTCTTTGTTGTGGTTGTAAAAGTGTAGAGCACTTACATTGTTGTTGTTGATAAGTGCTGTTGAGCTGGTTCTGACTCATAGTGACCCTGTATAGGGTTTCTGAGGAGCACCTGGTAGGTTTGAACTGCTGACCTTGTGGTTCACAGTCCAGTGCTGATCCTATAGCGCCCCACCAGGATTCCAGAACACTTGTATCAAGTTTTAAAGATACCATCATCATAACATTTATCTGGAGTCCTGGTGTGGCACCACAGGCTAATGCGCTGGACTGCAAAGTCAGTTTGAACCACAAGGTTGGTGGTTCAAGCTTACCAGCCGCTCATGGGAAACCCTATACAGTGTTGCTATGGATCAGAACCTACTCTATGGCACTTAACAACGACAACAGCATTTACCTAGCCTGGCATGGCTTAAAGTACTTTACATCCTTACATGTATTCATATCATTCTCTCAGCAAGCCTATTGAGGTAGATTTTATTAACCAAATGAATCACAGAAAGGTTAAATAACTTGAACAAGATCTCACAGCTAGTGGAACTAAGATTAGAGCCCTGGGAATCTGGCTTCCTCAGGACCATGTTTTGTGATTTGTTTGTTAGGTGCTATGGAGTCGACTCTTACTCATATGACCTTATGTACAGCAGATCAAAACACTGCCCCATCCTGTACCATCCTCACAATTGCTGTGTTTGAACCCATTGTTGTTGCCGTGGTAACAATCCATCCATTGAGGGGTCTTCCTCTCTTTTGCTGACTCTCTACTTTGACAAACCTGATGTCCTTATCCAGGGGCTGGTCTTTTCTGACCACATATCCAGAGTACAAATGACAAAGTCTCTGTCTCCTCGCTTCCAAGGAGCAAGCTTCTAAAACAGATTTGTTCCTTCATCCATCAGCTTAGGGTACTTTCATATTCGTTGCCAATTCATAATTCAAATGCATTCATTCTCCTCTGGTCCTCTTTATTCATTGCCCAACTTTCACATGCATATGAGGTGATTGGAAATACCATGGCTTGGGGTGGATACATCTAGTTCTCAAAGTGACATTTTTGCTCATTAAAACTTTGAAGAAGTCTTTGGCAGCAGGTTTGCCTAAAGCAACACGTTGTTTGATTTTTAACTGCTCCTTCCATGAGAGTTGTTTATGGAGCCAAGTAAAATGAAATCTCTGACAACTTCATTTTTGTTTTTTTCTGTTTATTTATTGGTCTACTTATGAGGATTTTGACTTTCTTTACATTGAGGCTCAATCCACGCAGTCTTTGATCTTCATCAGTGAGTTCTTCAAATTATTTTCTTTCCAGCAAGCAAGGTTGTATCATCTGCATACCACATATTGTTCATTAGTTTTCCTACAATTCTGTTGCCACATTCTCCTTCATATAATCCAGCTTCTCAGATTGTTTTCTCAGCATATAGACTGAACAAGTCTGATGAAAGGATACCACCCTGACACACACCTTTACTGGTTTGAAACCATTCTGCATCCCCTTGTTCTGCTTGAATGACTGACTGCTTCTTATTCTTTGTAAAAATTCTGCATGAGCACAAGGAGGTGCTTTTGAATTCTTCAAAATGTTATCCATAGTTTGTTATGCTCCAAAGTCAACTGCCTTTGCATAGTCGAGAAAGCACAAGTAAATATCTGTCTGTTATTCTCTGCTTTCAGCCAAGATCCATCTGACGTCAGCCATTGATCTCCCTTGTTCCATGTCCTCCTCTGAATCTGGCAGAATTTCCGGACAATGTATACTCCTCATACCAGGTGCCTTCTAGTTGATTCAGACTCATGGCGACCTGTTGTTGCTGTTGTTGCAAAGGGCCTTCGCATCAGTTCTGACTCATAGCCACACTCTAGAGGGTTTCCAAGGAGCAGCTGGTGGATTTGAACTGCCGACCTAGTGGTTCACTGTCTAGTACTAGTCCTGCAGCGCCACACCAGGAGTCCCATGTCCACCTAATATAAGTTTAACTAAAACTGTACTCTGTAGGATTTTTTAAAAAAGGTTTTATTGTGAATGAAGTGATAATTTCCATGGAAGAACATTGTTTTTGCAATCAACCAATCATCAATTCGTGCACCATCAGTTAACAGTATTTGCCTCTCTCTCTCTCTTTTTAATATACACAAAACACACAAGAATATAAAATCGTTTAAACAACCAAAGGGCATATTTTGGAATCCAGCCACCAAGTCACCATCACCCAGCCTTTCTCTTTCCATGAGTGTAGAGTCCTCAGCTGCTCTAGCTCTCAATGCCATCACCTCTGTCTCCATCTCTGGTGTCGCTGCTTCTCTGGTTAGGATCCATAGGATATTCACTGATTGATTTTTTCCAAAGTAGATAATCAAGAATGTGAAGCTAATGTTTTCCCATGTAAACTATCATATAATTCACAATAAAGCATTTTT